AGGGGTCATTCGTCCAGTATTCGATCAACAACATTGGTTACAACTTTAAGGTGACGACGGCCCAGACCGTTCAATACGGGATATAACCTCCATGAGCGACAATGCATCTTCGAATGCGGCGTCGAACTGAGTAGACAAGCGTCCTCACATCGACTACAGGTATCCGATTCCATTCCTAACGGAGGGCAACGATCAACGCTTGTCTCGTGAAGGGAGGATGTTGACGTTTCCGAAGACAACGCCCCAGCTGGTCCCAGAGATGTTCTATGGGTGACAGATCGGGTGATCGAGCTGGCCACGACAGGACGGTCACGTTGTTGGCGTTGAGGAAGTCTCTAGTAATACAGGCTTTATGGGGTGTGGCGTTATCTTGTTGGGACACCGTCCGTTGTTGACGCTGGATGAAAGGAAGAACCACTAGCCGTAAGATATTGCCAATGGAGCGTTGTGCTGTCAGATTGCCTTCGATGATGACAAGTTCCGTCTTCTCGTTCCCGCAAATGCCGCCCCAGACCATCACACTTCCGCCCCCGTAAGGTTCCACCTCCTGGACACAACAGGGAGCCGTACGTTCAACACGTCGTCGATAAACTCGCGTCCGCCCATCAGGTTTGAAGAGTTGGAACCTGCTCTCGTCACTAGCCAGCACACGCCGCCATTCCTTTTGTTCCCATCGCTGAGTTTGCCTGCACCACGTCAATCTGGCACGTCGATGTTGACGGGTCAAGGTCATGCCCTTGAAAGGGCGATAAGCCCGGAGACCATAATGTCGTAGTCGTCTGGTCACTATTTGTCTGCTGACCGGATGCCCTAAGCTGTTGGCAGCTGTTGACGTCACTGTAAGAAATCTGTTCCTCAGATGAAGTACCCGTAAAAAGCGGTCATCCCGCGGGGTCGTGACCTTTGGTCTGCCAGTCCGTGGTCTGTCTGCGGTTCTGCCAGTCTGTCGGAGACGTGCGACCAGTCTGGTAATGGTCATTTTGGAGCAGTTCATGTTAATGGCAACCGCTCTCTGTGTCGCTCCCATCTGCAGCATACCTATGGCTCTCTCCCTCTGGACAGCGGTCAGTCTTGGCATGATGGTTGATGTTAATCACCGCAACCAATGATAGGGAACAGAGACGTGCGTAATTTATACCCGGAAATTGCACGATAATTTGGGAAAGAATGTTTTTAAAAAATGCTGAAAAACACCAATATCTCGCAAAATCCGCAAAGCACGTGCAAAGATCGACAGAGAACATGAAGGCTGTATTCGTGAGATGTGTTCTTTACTGTTTTTGAACAGGTTGGCATCTTTGTTTCAAACTGGCAAGTCAGTTAATGTTGGTAACGTTTCTTTTGGCCCTCAGTTTAGTTTAGAATTAACATTGTACAAGATCGTAGCGTTTCTTACCTGAGTGAATAAACAGTCAGTTTATTAGACAGGCACAGAATGATTTGTGACTGTCTGTCGTCCGTATTTATACCTATTCAAGCAACTACAGATAATCTCATTGACTGATTAAAACTGACGCTAAAGCTGTTATTGTGAATTTTAGTTCTAGACTGAACTATGTAATTTAATTTGACCGAGGCATTGATGATAAAGGTGTTTATGAGTGAAGTTTAGTAAGAATAATAGTTTACCAGTTGCTAGCATGCAACGAATATATAGGTGGTACGAGTGATTTGATAAGTGTGGATGATAAGGATATTAACGTCTTATATGTGTTTGCCTAACTCTGTCAGACCTGCACCATGAGAGATGCGGATCCAGACCGATAGGCGTTATCGGGTTGACCCTTGTCAGTCTAAAGACAATGGAACGAGGTCGTTAGTTGTAATATTCCCTTATGTCACAATTTCCAATTCTGAATATGTAGTATCTAATCGTAATAAAATATTTGTCAAACTTTGTTCATTTTCCCCATGTTAATAGTAGGGTAAAATATGCATGAACAGATTCTATCAGTCTAATATCTGCCTCAGAAGAACACGGTTTGAAGATCATAACCTTTTATACAAAAGGAACAATTAACAATTGATCTTATGTACCTATGTTTTACTTTGCAATAAATAATAATGATTTATCTTTGTAGTTCTGACCACAACTACAATTAGGATCATAAACAATTAAACGATCAAACGTATGTTCATTTAGGTCGCTACAATTGAGTCATTTTACAGTGTATGATAGTTTTTTTTGTAGTACCATAACATTGAAATAAAGAATTACATTGCTGATAATATGTTTTTCGTAGTTCTTGTCCAGTTGTTTTAATGATTCAGTACATGTTAAAGTGTCATCCAACATATTCCAGTCATGGACTGATGATGGGAAACTCAAATCCACTCAAGCACAGTCAGTCCACACTGCCCAATTACTTCAACCTATAAGTTCAGCCGTTCCGTGAAAAGGTGTTCACTTTTTTAACATAAACTTGTCACAGTTGTAGGTTATGACATTCCTAATATTTTAAGATATGGGGGCACCTAAAAAATCCAATATGGCTGCCATAGCGGAAGGAAGTTCTAGTATATCTTGTATGAACATGACCCACAGCCTAACTATATTATGTAAAATGAACATTTTGGAATGTATTTACTCAGAACTGCATCTGTAAAGTACATAAATATATCATGATAGACTATTTATCTTGTTTAAGGTAATCTGAAGGGAAATAAATATGCTTTGATTCTTCTTCCGCATATCTTTACGACGTGCCTCATTAAGGCCAATATACCATACCACTTATGTATGCTCATAAGGTCCATTTATTGAAATATGCTGTACATGGCTAATGTGTTGGTTGGCTAGTGATAATTAAATGTGATGACGGAAAGTGGTGCACCAATCAACTGTACCATTTACACCTTTGCACTGAACCCCTTCTCAGAAGCTCTTGGCATGACTGATGTTTGTGATGGTGTAGTCCATAACGGCTCATAGCCATGTGCCACTGGTCATAACGATACCCACTCAGTTGGAGTGAAAAGGTCTGTTTCGGCCTCCCGACTTTTTCCCCAACAGTAGCCAGCTTGAATAAATTAATGTACCTTTCTAAGTGGATAATTCTTTGCGTGCCTCATCCACTCATGTACAGGTACTGGCTCATTAATACATTAAGACCACAGAACACTCATTGACTTCCATCGTGTTCTTCGCATCCTGTTCGGTTGGTACATCATCAATGTGTGTGTGGTCACAGTAGATAACACGAGCATCCTCTCACCTACACAGTTTCTGCAACGGCTTCGCGGACTGTCAGAAACATTTCAAATAATCTGTCTGGACATCGCTGAAGGCCGAAAACGGAACATTGAACTTTGAATTATGTGACTTTGAAATAAGTTCTGTAAATGTACGATGTACATGTCTTTGTAATAAAACATTGCGTATCCAATATAATGCCATAAATGTAACTTTTTTTCTGGTCACCTCGGCGTACCAGCGGGCAGATTGTTCTGAACTGATATTTAATATACAAGTAGCTTTCAGGTTAGGATTTCTTTGGAGGTATTTAATCTTGACGTATAAGTAAACTTTATACAAAGCCAAGTTAAAGGTTTGGATAAGTAATTGATAAGGATACGGCTCTGCTTATCGCCATCACAGTATGCAGAACGTATAAGTGGAGTTTTTTCTATCCTGGGGAGTATACATTATGTTAAGGAATAGGACTTAAGCTTTCAAAACTATTGTATGAGTTGAAGGCAATCGAAGATAAAACCCCGTTGAGCGATGATACCTGTTGTTACCCTGTCCGGCACTCCGCATTAAGGGGATAAAGCAAGGGCTGGTCGGATCGGAGTATAATGTGTCTGAGTGGGTTTCATGTTAAACTGCGGCATGGTATCTCAGTGGGCTAGCACTATAAAAGTGCATTAGTTGGGACTAGATAAGTGCACATGCACACGCACGCACGCACGCACGCACGCACGCACGCACGCACACACACACACACACACACACACACACAAACACACACACTCGATACTCTATGGACTTTCCTCTGACTTGAAACCCCGATTCTGTTTCTAGGTTTGTCAGCACCATACCCCTGTTCGTTGGTTTCACCAAAGTTATAAACGTTGGAGACATACTTTACTTCGGTCTTTCCTCCCCCGTGAAGCTGACACGCCGGGATTTAACAGGAATAATGTTCAAAGTGGCGTTAAACCTAACTTACTTCCCCACTCAGTCTAACAGGAAAATGATACTGTGATATAAAGTGGCCTTAAACCAAACTCGCCCGAATCACTATGAGTGGATCATTAGCAGCAAGTATCCCTCGTATTCATCAGTGTATTAATCACACAATCAGGTAGGATCGATCTGAAAAAGAATATGATGATTGTTTATGAAATCTTGTGTGTGTTCAGTGTGAACCCTGTGAACTATTATCATTGCTATATTGCAGTGTTATTTGATTTTCCATCGATGTACTCAGTGTGTTCAATGTGTGACTCGAAAGAAGAATACACTCGGGTATGATCGACCTGAGAGAAAATATGATAATTGCTTATCAAGTGTTATTAATGACAAAATGTTCTCTGTCTTCTTAAGTGTCGTTTTGGTCCCTGGGAACCATGGCTGACTGTGCTAAATTGTAGTGTTGTGTGAGTTTCCATTGTTGTACTATGTCCGTATCTAAATTATGACAGCAAGGCTTTTTGTAGCAGAATGACCAAGAATTGCTTTTATTAACATTAGGTACTACTATACATACTTCAGGGGAAACATGAAATCTCATTAAAATCAGATCTGTTAATCCGACACGATTGAGTCTGTGTCCATACCTGAAGACATGCCCTGGGTGTTCTCATCAGCAAATCAGCGTCGAGGCTTTATAATTCTCGTGACGTGTGAGTAAAGCATTCAGACAAGCATGAGTTCTGTATCTCACTCACTCACTCACTCACTCACCCACCCACCAACCCACCAACCCACCCACCAACCCACCCACCCAAGCACCCACTCACTCACTCACCTACTCACTCACTCACCCACCCACCCACCCACTCACTCACTCACTCTCAGCACAATGCACGTCCGCATGTCCATGGCCAGCATGTTCAATTAATGTGAGTCACTACGTAAACCACTACGTGGCCTCTGACGACAGGAAGTGACGGTGAACCCATACCAATGGCCATACTTCGACGACACGGTGACTTCACACTTATAACTTGCACATTTATAACTCACACATTAATAATTTCTGTCTGTCGAGTAGGGTTACCTATATATTTGTATCAAATAGTTAGGTTATAAGCAGATTTCCCGTCCTTGTTTAGAATATGTGGGTTAACGCCTGTGGCCACCAGAACTTCCATCAGCCTTGTCCTCCCACGCGGTGCGTTGAGAGCAGAATGATGCAGCACCGTGTTTCCGTCTTTATCCTGGGCCTGTAGATCTACCCCATGCTTAACCAACACTTTCACAATCTCAGTGTAGACATTTACCACTACCAAATGGAGAGTTGTTCTGCCCTGGTCATCTCGTGCATTAGGATCAGATCCTTTCTCCAGCAGCAGCTCGATAATACTTGGAGAACACCGACAACGAACTGCGCAGTGAAGTGGTGTCTCACCATGGCACCCTTTAACGTGCACACAAGCCCCCTTATCTAACAACAACTTTGTGAGATGTGAATTCACTAAGGTCTTCAGACTGAGATGTAGTGCTGTGTCACCTGCATTGTCAGCATTGTTTATATCAACGCTTTTGTCTAAGACAAGTTGGACAAGTTTAATTACATCTTGGTTTTGTCGTTTAATTGATTGTCCTAACGACTTCTCAAGCATCATTTCATGCCTCTGTTTAGGACTGAATTTTCTAAATGTCACTATCTGTGCTGCTTCATGTAAAGGTGTTCTGCCCAGGCTATTACTTATATGAACATCGGCCCCATGTTCAATAAGAGCAGCCACCATCACACTGTTTGTCAGGGCAGTACTGCAGATCGCAAAATGTAGTGCAGTATTTCCGTGATGATTTCCAACGATCATTGTTTGTGCGTTAACATCCAATTGTTTCAAGGTTAGCAAATACTGAAAACTGGCAATGCTCCCATGCAGGCATGATTCATGCAAAAGATTCATTCCTGATTTGTCACTAACGTCCCATCTAAGCCCATTAGTTACAAGATATCCTACAACTTCGATGTCATCTGTGTGGACTGCATTAAACAAGGGAGATCTGCCTTCATCGTCGCAAGTCAGTGAAACATTTCTTACACTGAGCAGATACTTAAGTTTCTCTACAGCATCGTCCCTGGACTCCGCAGCTTCATGTACGACTGTCTGACCAGTGAATGTTTTTACATCTATCTCGCCAGCACTCTCACATAAAAACATGAATGTTTCAAAATCCGCATTCCTTGCTGCCTCGTGTAGAACTGTCCTCCCATTGCAGTCTTGTACGTCCAGTCTTGCCCCAAGTCTTGATAAATGCTTAACTAAAGGCAGATCTGAAAACAAGGTGGCATAAAACATGGGTGTTCTACCAACTTCGTCTGGAGTTTCTAGGCTCATTGCCTTACCAAGCAGTAGATCTAAGAGAGCTTTCGGTTTATTTCCAGTTGAATTCATCAGAAATCTTCTCGTCGTCAATGAAGGGAAGGACCTTAATGACCCATCATGCCATATATGAGCAGGACTAACAAGCTCAATTGGATCAGAAACTTCAATTTGACCCTTTACTGTTTGCATGAAACATCTTATGCATTCCGTGCTACCTGTTAAGGTTGCACACTGTAAAGGTGTAACTCCATCTTTGTTCATATGATTGCTGTCAGCACCAGCCTGCAGCAAGACTCCAACACAGTCAGCATCTCCACGTAAAGCTGCTAAGTGAAGAGGACTGTTTTTATTCTCATCTTCCATGTTGACACCAAACATGCTATCATTTTGTTTTTGATTTCCTTGCAACTGTTCCTCACTATGAGCAGCCTTACGAAAGGCTTCTAATAAGAGTGTTGTTTTATCTCCACTCTGATATTGCGATTTTGCAGCATTAAGTAAAATGGTCTTTTTGAAACGTATTTCTTTCTTCAGGAGAATATTCAAGTTGTCAGTTATTCCATTTAAAGCAGCATTCTCCATTACTTCCTCTATATCCGGTGTTATCATTGATGCTTCTGCATGATTTAACAAACATTCAAGTGCTAACGAAGTATCATGGGCGGAAGCTGATAGTAGTAGGTTCTGGTAAGGAAACGTTGTCTGTATGCTCAATAGTATTGTCATGAGTTCAAGCACTGGTATGGCACTGCTTGAGACAGGGGACATATGTCTACACCCCCTGTCACACTGAAACAACAACTGTTCAAGGCACCGAAAATATATTTTACCGCAGTTTTGCAATCCTGACATGTTCTTGACAAGAAACTCCACAGCCCTGATGTTCCCATGTCGAACAGCCAATGAAAGGTGTTTTTCTGGGTTGGATGGACACTCATGTTCAGCCTCAAAGTGACGGCATATGTCATTGGTTATACGTTGGTCAGCATCACGAATGCAACATATTATCGTCATGCAATCAAGTGAAATAGTCCCCTTTTGCCCAAGCAGGAAGTCAATTGTAACGCGGTCTTGCATGTACAGAGCACAATTCAGCGCTTCTTCGTGTACCTTCTGATTATCGATGCTATGTAGGACAAGTTTCACCAGTACTGAAAGCTTTTGCATTATAAAGAAAGAGACTGCATATTTATATGTGAATATGACTTCTTCGTTAAGAAAGTTTGAGCCGAAGAAAGTCAATGGGTCTGAAAACATGTTAAATATGTTCATATCAGCCACGATCAACGTCACATTCTGTGGAGTGGCAGCATGGTTGGATATTTGAAATATGGTGTCCTCATCCCATGTATCAGATAAATATTCAAGAAATCGAGGATGGCGAAGAGCTGCATGAGATAAGATTGAATGACAGCCATCGGATAGTATTATATCTGTAATTCTAGAAACCAAACAGTTGTAATCGTCCTCTTCTATGCACAAACAAATGTTACTGCAATCCTTATTTAGTGATACAAACTCGAGAAGTGTTTGTATTGGACAATATTGGAGAAACAGTTCTTTGTTATCTTCAGCTGCATTAAGGAGGACAGCTTCAAATATAGACTGATGACTGAATGTATACCTTTGATTTGTGTTGGACAGATACGTTCCAGAGAGAGAGTCGGCCTTTCCTTGTATTTTCTGACACGAAGGATTAGAGGTGAAGCAGGTGCAAGCATCTCTTATATGTTCTCGTAACTGATTGAATTCTACTGTGGGATTGGAAAGGAGTTTTCTGTCAAGACTATTGTTCATCATGATAATTATCAGCAGAACATAATATCCTAGATGATCAGTCTCTTTAAGGACTTTCACTTCCTCTGCAATGAACTCATACGGTCTCTTGAAAAACTCAATACCTTTAACATGGGTATGCCTGATTGTATGGAAGAAGGCACAACACTGAGGGAATCCAAGGGCTGTATATTGACCAACTTTTTTCTGTATGTCTTCTTGCTCAGCACCAGTTGCCCTGGTATACTTCCTGACCAATTTTACCTTTTCATAATTTCTCAAGGAATACGGCCCTTCATCCAGGTCTATTACGCTTGTATTCTGCATGATTTTGTATTTTCTTAAAGACGGAACTTGATGTGCCCCAATGCCACTCCTTGACACTAATACAAGGAGGACATGACCTGACTCAACAGAGGGGCACATCATGTCAAACTGCCTTGACCATTCATCAACTCTTGCACTGACTAAATTGCAAGATCCAAATATATCATCAATCATGATTATGTACCTTTCCTTGCCGACTTTCTTCTGCGGAATATAGTTCCAATGTTTGGCAGAGGTAAGGATCATTGGTATCCTGTTTGTCTTGTTTGACATTGCTGCTAGTATCGATATTCCTGTTCTAGTTTTTCCAGAACCGGACTTTCCTGTGATGTAGATGGACCCTGACTGCTCCAGTATCCGCATTGCTGCCCTTTCAGCATATGTTGAAACATGGTATGCCGGGTCGAAAGCGTTGATGTACTGTCTTGTAGACTCTGCAATAAACACCAGCATAGTGGGGGTTACGAGAAGAGTGTGTAGATCACTATCATGGAGTTGGCCTTTCTGTTGCAACTGTGTCTTCTTTGCTTAAGTGGAACTAGATTGTACTAAAAGGCGGGGAAAGGAGGAATTGACACGCGTGTAACACCATGCAGACTTGCATTGCCTTGCCGTACCAGCATCTGTACAATTTGGCGTTAACCAAAACTCACTCTATGTACACACAATATATATGTTCATTTTAGCTCAGATATACAGCTAATGATAAACATCTACCGTTAGAGAGACTGGTACATGATTGTAGTCCACTGTAACACTTACCTATGATTTGGCGTAATATACCTCCCGGGGAACCTTCAAATAAAACAAAGACATTACTGAACACGTTACACTTTTAAATACTTTTAGAATTAATTTATTCAATATATTGAGTTATGTTGGTTTTACAAAATGTGGATTAACTTTCTTTAAAGTTGTTAACAAGATATTAAATCAGGTAGACACTGCAGAATTAAAAAAGAATACAGAATCTGTCAACTGTGTAGTTTCAATAACATAGAAGATCATTATTCCTTTTTACTTGTTTGTCCATTTTATGTTGACATTAGAAACCAATTCATTAATAATTCAATAATTTTCAAAGATCCTCACTTGTATAAATCTAACTTACTAATGAAGACTAAACAGACTGTCACAATGAAGAGTTTGTCAGTGTTCATTTTGCATGCCATGAATCTTAGAAAGCATGCACACAACGACTTTGTGTAAGTTAACAATTACTATGGCTATTGCTGTATATTAAATTGTATAAATGTACCCTCAACTACTTTGTATACACGTACTGTAGACCTGTGACCTTCTCAGTATTTAGAAATCAAGATTGATTGATAAAGTTTGTACTATAAGAGTTTGATACACTCTGCAGGTCTATCAATGGTACAGAGCAAAATCGTGCAAGTTGGACACGTTCATGAACTTTCTACATGGCTGTAAATTTCCCTGGCCGTTTACTGCCTGATGCAGATGTTATTGCATGCGAATATAAGCTCGGATCGTGATGCTACATGATGTTGCTGAATAGACATTCTGTGGCTGAGAACCTGCACCTGATGTTTGTCATTTGGGTCACGTGTTGCAGGCCTATATCCAGACAGTGCACTCCAAACAATTCACTGCATACATCAGTGCCACTGAGCTGCATGTACCTCGAGATGTGCACAGCCGCCGGCCCTTGGTCTCTCGGTTGAGTGCAAAGTATGTTTTAGTCATAGACTGAGTACTTGGCTGGGCTCAGAGACAGATGGAGGACTCGTGACAATACTTAATCGGGATAAAAGTAGTTTAGAGAAAAAGACTGCGCGACAGCACCACAAAATGTAGAGTCTCCTTAAGTTTTAAGTTTATGAAGATATAGGTGTAAAAATCGTTGTCCAAATGGCAGACAACAATGCGAAACCAATGACATCATTCAGCGCAGTAATACCAGTCAAGTCCCATCAGCAGCCCATCAGGAAACAGTAGCCTGTTTGTCGGCGTGTCGGTTTAGGGAAAAATAAACGCAAAGAAAATTGCTTTGTTAGCCGACCAAACGCCACGGAATCACTTGCAATGTATTTCTAGACAGGTAGAATATGTAATGTCAATAGGACTTTATATGTTAGGTATGTAGATTATATGAAAATGAAAGAAAGGGGTACGACAAAGTATACATGTATGTACATGCAAGCTCACATTGACTATATTGGCTATATGAAATCATAATTTAGCATTATACAGTATGAGATGAAGGTGAGCTTCGGCTACTCTCAGCTGCCATCCACTTGGGATGTCGTCCACATTGGATAAGAAATACCATCGTATGAGGCGCCTAATAAAGTATGCAAGATAACCTATAAATATGCAAATGTATGCATGTCGTCAAGATCAGCGAGACTAATGTAAAGGAACAGAATGACATCATTCAATTAATGAACCTTTAGGAAATTAACGCGTCATAACAGCAAATACACATTCTAGACACGCCCACACGTTATTTATTATTGATTTAATAGGAAACAATGTTGTGCCATGTCATAGCACATCTACATTAAATATGCTTCGTCACGTTCTTCCCGGGGCGGTCGGGTAGCCTGGTGGTTTAAGCGTTCGTTCGTCACTCCGAAGACCCGGGTTCGATTCCGGACATGGGTACAATGTGTGAAGCCTATTTCTGGTGTCCCCCGCCGTGATATTGCTGGAATATTGCTGAAAGCGGCGTAAAACCATACTCACCCACTCACCCCGTTATTCCCAGTACAGTCCTCAAACACAAAATCATCCATTTGACCGTTATTGTACATTATTGTCTTTGCTACTCTGCCTTTAACGCCAATATGTTTCGACTGATAGTCGAGACTGGTTATAATTATTCTCTGGCCTTGGCGTTATATATTTACAGTGCAACACAACAGTTACTGTTTAGTTGTATCTTCAATTCCAACCTTTCGGTTTGTGGTAAGCGATATTCAAATCAAGTTACTATCATTAATTGCTTGATATAAGTTACACACGTGCCTTCAGTGACCATGTCAAGCTTTGTGGCTTCTCGTGGAATCAATTCAAAGCCTTGAATTTGGGTCGAACCTCATTGACTATTGGTAATACAACATGAGCTGGCCGATGTTAAGTGCTATTCAACATGATTCAAAATATGAGGCAAATGTAACGAATCGTTGGTTTACTTGTAGTCCAAAAAGCATACCAATCGCTCTACACACATTGCTCATAGCCACGCCCATGTATCTGGTTCCTTTCATATGTGAACAACAATATTTCATTAATTATATGCAAGTGTTACAGCTACAAAGTACCTTAAGGTACAACGAGTTTTTAAAATGGGCTGGATATTGCACCCAGCGAGGTCCCACTCACCCGGCGAGGTCCCTGTTTTTGACTTGGCGGTCATGTTGACATCTGATCCATGGCAGCCCTCTTGTTAACGTTTTTGCCAGGCCGGCAGCCCTTGTGTTAACGTTGTTGCCAGGCCGGCAGCCCTTGTGTTAACGTTGTTGCCAGGCCGGCATCCCTTGTGTTAATGTTGTTTCCAGGCCGGCATCCTTTGTGTTAACGTTGTTTCCAGGCCGGCAGCCCTTGTGTTAACGTTGTTTCCAAGGCCGACAGCCCTCTTGTTAACGTTTAACGTTGTTTCCAGGCCGGCAGCCCTTGTGTTAACGTTGTTGCCAGGCCGGCATCCCTTGTGTTAATGTTGTTGCCAGGCCGGCATCCCTTGTGTTAATGTTGTTGCCAGGCCGGCATCCCTTGTGTTAATGTTGTTTCCAGAACGTTATAGCTGTGCTGATACTTGGAGAACATGTGTATGAATACCAAGCACAACATACACCTGCTTATTCTTTGTCTAATTATGAATGACATGCTCAGGATGAAATGTCATTGTTATGTTGTAAAAGGCTGACACAGTTTGACAACAGCCATGTCTTGAGATATTCGGTATACTAAATTAACTATGTTCACTGCTGGAACGTATGTCTACATTACCGTGCGTAGAAAACAACAGCCACATATTGAGCGAAATGTCCCAGCCTAACTCCCATCACAGCAAACGCTATGACGTCCTCACGGGGCTGGCTGTTCTGTCTGATGTGCGTGGTGACAGGCGGTGTTCAACTGTACAGAAATAGCTCCACTCTAGACAGCAGATGTGTGGTTCACCTTGACATGGGTGTTGACTTACAGCTTCCCTATTCTTATCTAGGCCAGGAGCGTGATGAGTAGGTAACATGGCTAGGTCGATAGTTGAGAGAAGCGTTCGTTGTTTTATTCTTAGTTATGTAAAACATTTGCAGTTCATGAAATAAATAAATAGGTTTGCTGTCGTTTTAAATCAACACTATGAAATCGTGAAATACGACAGTATGAGGAAAAATATGGCGGGAAGTGTCAAGAGGTTATCAGTAACACGTACGAAGATTAGGCCACACTTATATCACTTGCTTCACGGATCCGCCAACTGTAAATTTTGTTGAAATTGATTTTTTTTTTATCCCATAGGACCCACTGAAGTTGACAAAAATATCAATTGAGTGAATGAATATTGTTTTACGCAATCAGCAATTTTGAGGCTATTCGCGGAGAGAAATGTCTTAAGTTTTCCGTGTTAACAAACAAAATATAGGTGATATTTTGAATAACATATATTAAACATGGTAGTAAAGATACAGTTTGTTGTTCCTGAAATTGATAGGATGCATACATGCACAACAATATTCGCGCTTGATTCGTCAGGTTTGCATTGCGTAAAGCTAACGCTGTGTTGCGGGCCTCCAAGCCGACCTGTAGCGGAGCAGAAACTATAAATGAAATTCCCACATTCCGAGGGGTATTTTCCTGTACAACAATCCATCAAGCCAGTGAAAAGTGTGGCCTTACATAATGCGGGGACAAGTTTGGTTCCACCCCCAAACTCACGAACACAGCTTTAAGGTCAAGGCGGGGTCCTCCGTGTCCCCGTATAAGGTGGTGATGAATCAACGGGGTCAGTGTGCATATGAGAACACGACAGACAGTCAGACAGACAGACAGACAGATTTATTTGTATAAGGCCATTTGACCCATTGTACAAAATACATTTACATTATATTTATCTAAGAGTTACCTAATTGATACTTTTGTGTGTGTGTGTGTGTGTGTGTGTGTGTGTGTGTGTGTTGAGAACACGTACATTAGAAATTTTGCAAAATTTATCATTGCATCGTTGTTGGATAGTTGACAGGAGTGTTTTTAAACAAAAATAATTATGGTTAACTGTCTTTGGGATGTACATTTCCCGCCGACTTGCATAAAGAGGACAACTGTATATAACATGAAGTTCATCCCCAATTACATGACAGTATTTACATAAGACGGCATCCTCCTCAATATTAGCAACACCCCTACGTATAAGATGAATACCAAGAGTATTCTGTCCACATCTAAATTTGGTTATTGGCCTTTTATATTCACAATGCTTAATATTTGATAAATATTTTTCACAAACGATATAAGATTTATGCAGTTTATAGAATGAGAGGGTCTTGCTGCCGAGAGATACATGCCAATCTTGAAACGAACAATTTTTAATTCTTTCGCTGAACATATGTACAAATAATTCTGCATTGCCAACGTCTTGTGCAGCCCATACATCCCAAAACCATAATGACTTAGCAAAGGTCTGATATGCGATGCCCAGTTAGGACGTTTTCTATCAGCAATGGATATAACATTTTATAACACTGGTATGGGTATCTGTTTGGACTCATTTGCAAAATCTGAAACCAATATTTAATGCATTTTACATAATAAATAGTATGAAGTGGATACCTACCACATTCACCATAGGCTACTGCATTTGCAGTTCTGCAGCCCGTGTGAAGTAAGAATTTACAAAATTTGCGGTGAACAATTTCAATCGTATTCCATTTTTGGTATCCCCAAATCTCAGCACCATACATTAATATCGGAACAATTTATTTTGTATCAAGTATAAAGAATGCTTCCGTAACCGACATGTCATAACGTCTTATTAACGACTTAACTGACCAAAGTGCTTTGCTTGCTTGCTCACATAAAGTTTTACAGGCCTTAGTCCAAATTAATTTGGGAGTGAAAACAAGTCCCAAATATGTATAGGCATTAACCGTATTCATACGTTCACCGTTATAATACCATTTCTCATTTATTGACAAGGGTCCTTCCATTTTAAACACAATAATTTTACTCTTTTCAGTATTAATATCCATACCCCATTTATCAGAGATTAAATATAATTCATCAAGACGTTTTTTTGTATTTTTAATACACTGTCTGCAACAAGTACTAATTCGTCGGCAAACAACAGGACAATTATATTTAACCTTTCCTCCGAGATATAAACACCATCCTGGAATTTATTTTCCAAACATATAACTAGTTCGTTGATAAACAAAGAAACAGTACTGGACTAAGAGTACAACCTTGTCTTACCCCACATCAACTATCAAAATACTCAGTTGTTTTCTTGCCAAAATCGTATGTAACAGTTGCTTTAACATGATTATACATACTCTGGATAATACATAAAAACTTGCCATGAATACCATTTTGCAATAAAATATACATTAACTTACTCCTATCAACCATATCAAATGCTTTTCGAAAATCAATAAAAGCGCAATATACTTTTCCTTTTTTGCGAGTGATATACTTTTGTATAATAGCTTGCAAAATGAAAATGTTATCAATAGTTGAATGATCTTTCTGAAACCCCCCTTGATATTTACCAATTATGCCTTGGTAGTCTAGGAAACATTGTAGTCTTTTATTCAGAACATAAGAAAACATTTTACCAGTTATATTGAGAAGTGATATACCAGGAAAGTTATTAGGATCACTTTTACTCCCTTTTTTATGCAGTGGCATTATTATTCCCGTTGACCATAATTTTGGGTAATGTCCACTGGTCAACATTGCATTAAACAAAATGACAAGCTATGAATTTTGTTTACATAAAGATTTAAATTTGTTTCTAATGTTTTTGTATAAGTTATAGTTTTCCGAAGAAGACACCTTTCTGAATGTATTCAAGAGTTTATACTTTTCTCTCTTCAAGTGTTCACACTCTTCATCAAACCATTCTGGTTGTTTCTTAAAGCCTATATATTTGGACCTCTTTACTTTCATATTCCTCCCACAGTATTATATTATGTACTGTAACTTCTCTGCGGCTTTATCAACATCAATTTCCACACAGGTTATAAATTCATTTAACATTTCTTGCACTAATTCACTTTCCTGCTGTCCTCACCTAGGCTGTAATCCTGATCCAGAGTGTCTATTACATTAAACAATGATGAGAAAGAAGCAAATATGGGAAGATGGTCTGATTCAGTGCGACTTATAACTTTAAAGTCCTCTACATACTTGTAAATGGATGCTGACACACAAATGTAATCTGGTGAGCTAACACCTGTTGCTCCAACATAGGTATACTCCCCTTCAAACGTCTAAGAAATCTTTTCCATACTTGTTTAACGACTTGGTCTTTGTTCTTTCGCCCTGCAGGGCTGTCATACTGATCGTACACAATATCATCCATTGGTAGATGATCAACTGCATCAAAATCAATATAATCTAATTCGGTTCCAGTTCTACTATCAAAATCACAACACAAAATGTAGTCACTTTCCGGGATTTCGCCCATGAGCACTGCAAGAAAATTTTCGAAAACTTCAATGCCCTCATTATAGCCCAGTGTTTCAGGTTTCAAGTACACACATCCCAATATTAGCCTTCTACCAGTAATGGATACAGCATTGGATACAACGAAAACACAGTCAACCCAAGTTTATCACTAATATATACCGCGACACCTCCTCCACTGTATCGACCTGCCTTCTTCTCTTCAGGTCGAACCGACTGAAATGAAATGAAATCAGGACAAACAAACTTGAAGTCATCTAAACATTTTGCCCACGTTTCGGTTAAACAGATGATATTCTGCTTACACACAAAGTCAAGGAAGTAATCATTGTTTATCTTAGAGTATAAACAGTTCACATTCCAACACAACACAGAAGTGGGTTGCTCTGCTTGAGAAGTGCACGTGCATTTCGTGTTGACGTCATCTGGTGAAGTTATTTCTGGGTCAGGGCCTTCTCGTTATAAGGCTTCGTAACGTGTGTCAGATGAGAGATCACTTGGCGGTGACTTCCCATAATCTCTTTCCTTCGTTACGTTCATAAGGTCTTCTGTCTGATCATCGAAATAGAACATTTCACCATTGATAAATAATTAGTCATTCTTCAAAAATGCACTTTGACCTTTTTCTCTAGCATTTATCATGAACCCGACAAGTTTCTTTCTTCTTTCCCTGGTTTTGAACGAAAAGTCCTCTGACACACGATACGTGGTAGTTCCCTTTAACTGCTCTTTGGCTTTGAAGTATACAGATGCTTTATCGTCCCTTGACACAAACCGTACAATTATAGGCGGGTTCGATCCTTGTTCACGTTTAGCACCCAGTCTATGAACCGTATCAAAATGAATTGTCATAATTGCTCATGTCAAGCTTTTCTTTCAAAAGATTTCTCACTTTTTCCTTGGTTTCATACGGTTCTTCCTTCCCGCCCATTTCAATGCCGAAGAAAAGTAGATTATGTTTTCTTGAGTAATTCTCGCTTCTATCTAATTTGTCTTCTAAGGTCGCAATCTTAATAGATTGTTTGGACACAACAGACATAAGTTCACAGTTTTCTTTCTGAATATCGTCTAAATGTGTACTCACTCGTGCGTTATTTTCTTCAACTGTGAGTTTCAGGGCTGTCAGTGTTTCACTCATTGTCCTCATAGTCGTTGTCAATGTTACCATGTGGTTGGATAGTCCTTCAATGGCGTCCTTTAATGAGGCTGTGGCGAGATCCTGATCTTCTTTCTCGCGACTCTGTTCTGTATTTCTTGCCGACCTTGGTCCTGGGTTTAACTCAATATCACCAGACATAAGGAGAAACCATGAGCGAGGGCAACTATTGTTGCCAAGCTGACCATCCGCTGTAAAGCGGACACTAAGCCATCTGCTGTAAAGCCGAATGGATAAATTGGTTCCTGCTGTAAAGCGGGCAACCCTATCCTATATAATTTATAATATGGGATGTATCC